TGGAACATTTTATCCACACGGCTGAATAGATAAATAAATAAATCACATTTTACATTTGCTGAATAATCTGATGTTTATTGCATCGCGTTTTAAAACCGTAGAAAAACAAAATTTGTTAGAAGCTAATATAGTTATAAGATACTGAATAGAATAAAAACGTGTCTAAGTTGTACTCAATCTACTCAAAAGAAAAATTCGTTTTCTATTTGTTTTTCACGGTCAGTCACGTTTTCAGATCTCAGTTGCTACAGCTGCCCATGGACAGGTTAGGTTAAGAAAACGTAGCAAAAAGGGAGAAAACAGTCCGTAAAAATTAAGGGAGTCGTGTATGACAAACCGTACATATCAAACTCACACAGAGTTACATCGAAACTGGAACAATGTATGAAACTCAGTTGAATGGACGGCAACTACCTGTCGTAGAAACACAAGTGTAGAGGACGACATTTCGAAAGTATTCCGCCTTTCGTCTACAGGTCAGTGTGTGTATGGTGTAGTCGGTCTACCAAAGAATGGGACAATATAATAGTTTTATTGTTTCTGATCGGGACAAAAAAAGGGCTAAAAACTTGTACGATATTACAACCGGAATAAATGTACTGTTCCAAGTAACCTTATACTCTCAAATACACAATCGTAAACCTTACACTCTCAAATACACAGTCGTAAACCTTACACTCTCAAATACACAGTCGTAAACCTTACACTCTCAAATACACAGTCGTAAACCTTACACTCTCAAATACACAGTCGTAAACCTTACACTCTCAAATACACAGTCGTAAACCTTACACTCTCAAATACACAGTCGTAAACCTTACACTCTCAAATACACAATCGTAAGCCTTACACTCTCAAACACAAAATCGTAAATTTACAAAATAAATCTGAAGTAGCTTAATTCTGATTAAGAAGTTAGCACACAAGATCACATACAAAAGCTGTAATGGTTTTCAAACAAGACCCAAAACTCGAGCGTTTGTTTAATTGTAGTTAAGCACAAAGCTACACAATGGGCTATCTGTATCGAAACGTTTGAATGCTTCACATTTCATCTTCCTGAATAATAAATATAATAAAGCGTTTTATTTGCTGAAAACATGTATGAAGTTGTTTTTTTTTGTCACATACAACATTTATAAGTTCGTCAAGAAATTATTGTCGCTTTTTTAGATGAAAAAACCCAAACAACTTATGTATCAAAACAAAACATTTATTAAATGAAATAGTCT